AAATATTCCTTTCAATGCTTGCATACAAAAATCCCGTTTTATTTCGTAGTAAATACAAAACTTGCTTTCGCTATGTACAGTAAAGTTCATTATTGGGGTGTAACTAAACACCGATTTGAAAAAAAAAGGTAAAAATGTTTCGGTTGACTTTGGTTTTTATTTCATCATGCCAATGTTCCCAAACAAAGATGCAGAAGCTTCGGAATCAGGATAAATAAACGGATAAAAGATCTCTCCTTTTCACGATAAACGTCTCATTCTGTTTGTTTGTAATTAAGCACAAAGCTACACAATTGGCTACCTGTGCGCTGCCCACCACGAGTATCGAAACCCGGTTGTAAGTCCGCAGACATACCGCTGTGCCACTGAAGGGGAATCTCATTCTGAAGGAAAAACTTCAAAATACAATTAGAATAACAAATTTCTGCAGAGTTAAATAGGTCGAGTTTTTGAAAGTTAAAACGAATAATCGTTTTCTACCCATTTTCTTTTGACAGTGTGAAGGAAATTAATTAATACCAGTTGTGTTTGTTTGTTTGTTTTGAATTTCGCGCAAAGCTACACGAGGGCTATCTGCGCTAGCCGTCCCTAATTTAGCAGTGTAAGACTAGAGGGAAGGCAGCTAGTCATCACCACCGCCAACTCTTGGGCTACTCTTTTACCAACGAATAGTGGAATTGGCCGTCACATTATAACGCCCTCACGGGTGAAAGGATGTTTGGTGGGACGGGGATTCGAACCCGCGACCCTCAGATTGCGAGTCGAGTACCCTAACCACCTGGTCATGCCGGGCCTCTCCAGTTGTGAAAGAAACGTTTTGTGTGCATCTTAATGGCACGCTCGCTTTTGGTTTTGTGAACTACTGCACATACCGGCTGACCACAATATTAAAACTTCTCCCCTGATATCAATTAGGGCCACCTTTTTGTTGCGATAATAACAAATTATTATCTGCACACAACTCTGTGTGCAGAGATTGTACAAGATGCCAAAAATGGTTTTGCTTGTTTATATGGGGAGTATGATGCACAATTCATTCATATAAGTACAGCGGCAAATCGGACGTTCATTTCATAGCTGAGATTCGGTGATTGTGCTGGTCAAGGAAGATGACTGAAATCACTATAATACTCTTTCAACCAAATTGGATAATACTGGAGCAGTAGAAAAGCCCTTGTCCATCTTGATGGAAAAGCAGCATTATGGGAGAAAGATAAATGTGGATGTTAGCCATCCTTCTAAAGGAATCATAGGACGAAACCCGTAAAAAAAAAAAAGTTTCTCAAAACATTACACATCTGCACTGCCAGAACAATATAATCACAGGAACCATCATATACCAGGGAAAAAATTCTTACAACACTACACCACCCGCACCGGAGAACATTCCTCACAATATTACACCACCCGCACTGGAGAACATTTCTCACAATATTACACAACCCGCACTGGAGAACATTCCTCACAATATTACACAACCCGCACTGGAGAACATTCCTCACAATATTACACCACCTGCACTGGAGAACATTCCTCACAATATTACACCACCTGCACTGGAGAACATTCCTCATAATTTTACACCATCCACGCTGGAGAACATTCCTCATAATTTTACACCATCCACGCTGGAGAACATTCCTCATAATTTTACACCATCCACGCTGGAGAACATTCCTCACAATATTACACCATCCACGCTGGAGAACATTCCTCACAATATTACACCGCCTGCACTGGAGAACATTCCTCATAATTTTACACCATCCACGCTGGAGAACATTCCTCGCAATATTACACCATCCACGCTGGAGAACATTCCTCACAATATTACACCAACTGTATTGTCGGAATAACATAAACATAATTAAGTGCCTTATGTGGTTTTAGACATATCTTTATTCTACCATTAGTAAATAAAAGAGTGAAACGCGACTTATCAGACTTGCTTCCAGTCGTTCATTATCTACAATCTGTGCTCTAACTCCTGATGAAGCTGTTTCCAGTCGTTCATTATCTACAATCTGTGCTCTCACTCCTGATGAAGCTGTTTCCAGTCGTTCATTATCTACAATCTGTGCTCTAACTCCTGATGAAGAAATGAACGACTGGAAACAACAGCTTCATCAGGAGTTAGAGCACAGATTGTAGATAGTTTTCTGTTTTCAGATGAGATAAGTAGTGTTTGTAGTAGCTGTCGACTGCTTTATAACAACTTTTGTAATGTTCTCCATCTAGTAACAGTTTGTCCATTTGAAAGTCGAAGATATCCTTGGTTTTAACTCTTATTTTCGAGAGTAACGATAAGTCAATACATCTCTGCACCTGCAGAGGTTAAGCAATAGTGACAAACAACAAGATAAGTCTCTGTTATATATATAAATGACTGGCGTTGTTTGTATACACGCTTGAGCAAGTGACGATTTAATAAAGAAGGCAGTCAGGATAATTCTAAGTATATATGAATTCGTCAAAAGTGCATAAAGAGTTGTATAGTTTTTCACTGTAAAGATGTAAATTCTCCTAGCTACTTACAGTTAATTTTTCTTTATCTTAATAAATATTATATATATCGTATTTCTACTCAGTGATGTTTGTTGCCATTGTTTTTGTATAGATTGTGGAATTAATCCAACTCACACACACCCTACAAATAGTTTTCGTTCACCACAATCAAAAGATGTAAAACACGGTGATTGGCCCTGGCATATTATGTTGATGCAGAACGGAAAACATGTTTGTGATGGTACTTTAGTTGACCATACGTGGGTCATAACCTCCAGCGTTTGTTTGAAAAAGTGAGTATACATTATAAGGTCCTCAACCGTTTGTTTCCAATAATAAAAAATTTTCGAATTTGAAATTTACTTGCACGTTTTAAACATACAATTTTCGTAAGAAGGCGTGTTTAAAGACCTCTCAGTAATTCTACTGAACAAACAGAACTTTCAGAGATTCTTATTAAAATACGTAAACAGGGACGTTTGGTTCAACACGTTAATATTAGCATTTAGTAGACCATTTGTGTATATATATATATATAATTATAGGTGTAGATATGGCTTTATCTGTCAAATTACTCTCAGGAAAACAGGAGAATGCACAATATTTAATCTAGAACTCAAGAGTTTCCAGGGCCCTAAGGCATACATTTCTTCGCCCCACAACACTTTTAATGTGCTTCCTACACCCATGAATGAGATAAAGTAATGAGGGATCCAAATATTATCTCTCGATGTCCAAATTTTGGGAACATTTAGCTGTTGAGGGTATTTAAAACTATAGCTTTTCCCTCGGGTTTTCAGATGTCACGCTAGCTAAGCATATAACCTTTTTTAAGGTTATGTGTTCAGCTAGCTGTAACATCTGAAACCTGAGGAAACATATTTTGAATATGGGTTAACTTACAATACCGAAAGTCCTGTGATAATAATGTATTGATATATTTGCTTGAACAATTTGTATGACTGTTATGACTTATTGATTAAATTTGTTTTCTGTTTCTCTGCTTTCAATTCAGATATCCCAATGCTTACTGGACAGTTAAGCTTGGCAGCGGGAGACTGGCATCAGTTTCACCATACGATCGAGTAAGGCTCGTGACTGGAGTTATCAAATCACCGTTTGAGCCTGAAGGAGTAACACTGCTCAAACTACATAAGCCGGTGAACATCACTGACTACGCGTCCCCTGTTTGTCTTCCTAACTCAAACACTAACATCCTACCTGGAGATTACTGTTTTACTCTAGGATGGGATGTCAGAGGTAACACGTGTTGACTGGCCCCTTTATTTCTAATATAAAGTGTACTGGTTCGTCTTGCTATAAAATGTCAAAAGCAATAAAAATAACTGTAGTCAGAAATCAGTGGCGTAAGTATGTCCCCGTCAGTGCGGGGTGGGGGATGGCGAATCAGCCAGAATCGTAACTACAATTAGTGGAAAATATATGTAGGGGACCCAATTACGGAGGGAGGTGGCGAATCAGCCAGAATCGTAACTACAATTGGAGAAAAATAAATGTAGAGGAGGGGACCCTATTACTTTTTAATGTGGGGAGGGGGGCATCGTTTGTAGTTACACCACTGTCAGAAATCATCAGTTATTCTGTAGGTAGTGGTAGAAACAAGGATAATATTTCAGCAGTGAAATACGGTGTTTATTGTTTTTTTTTCTTAAGGTAACCAATTACAACAGACTATGGTGAAGGTACAGAATCCAGAAACGTGCAAATTCAATTCGTCATCTCCCATCCTAGACCAACGACCAGAATATTATAATACTCAGATTATATGTACAGAGATGGTTGGAGATTCATTGGCCAGAATATGTTTGGTAAGACATTTGTACTTGTAGTAATCCAACTTTGTGTGTTATTTCTTTGGCTCGGATTCGAAACTAACACCTTTAGGACATAAGTGAAGTTCCCTGTCAAGTGAGCTAAAGAGTTAATCCAATAGGTATCGTAAGACACTTTTTAAAGTATTTAAACTACCACATATTTTAACATCTTATAAATATGTTGATGAATAACAATATACAGAATATATGTTCTTATGTCGATCTGGTCAGTAGGCATTTTAATGTACGGCCCTGGCATGGCCTAGTGGTTGGTGTTCTCGGACTGTGAATCAGAAGATTCATGGTTCGCATTCTATTTCCACAAAATCGTGCTCCGCACTTTGGGGTCACGACTTCGCTAATAGAGTGACAGTCCAATTCCACTATTTGGTAAGACAGGAACAGCCCAAGAATTGCAGTGGGTTGCATGCTGTAGACTAGCTTTCTTATCTGTACTTTAGTATTTTAAAGTTAGAGATGGCTGGCTATTCGATGATAGGCCTTTTTTTGTAGTTTTAAGCGAAAAATCTAAAGACAAAGAAACTTTCAATATGGATATTCTATAATTAATCATAAACTTTATTTTCAGTTTAAAATATAATGATTCAAGGCTCAAAAATACATTTATGAAGGAAATATATAAAATGATTTTTACATTGTCCGGAGCTAATAATTTTGTGAAATCAAAATCACAAAACTATAATGCCAAATAAATTACTTTATCATTTGTATTCCTCGATTATCACTAATATTATTTTCTGCATATTTCTTACCACATGGTAATTTCATCCTATCCTTTAGAACAAATGAAATTTTACTGAGGTTTTGATAATCATTTGTATATTTCTAAATAATATTTGTTTTATAGTAAAATATTTCTTGTAGATGGGGAAGACGATGAGAGGGCAACCTTTGCTCTGCCAGAAGAACAACAAGTGGCTTATTGTGGGAATTGAGAATGGAGAAGTTGTTTGTAAAGGCAGTAACACAGCTCGGATATTTTCTAAGACATCAACACAAGCACAGTGGATAAGACACACAATTGAATCTCTTAAAACAACGTGAATTTGCGGATGATTGGTTTCAGTAATTTACATTAACCAAAATAGTCATTTCATACGTCCAACACTCTGAATTAGTTTTCATTATAATTTTTATATTTAAATACGTTTATGTTTCACGTACTGCATATTTTACATCTTTAGTACATCGTATATTCTTTTCCCGATTTCTAATTGGGAAAATATGTAACATTATTGCCATCTAGTGGTGAGGCTGAAAAACGACTGTGAAAACAAAAAAGTGAGAATTCGCCATTTGTGTTTGTTACTCATTTTTAAAAGGAAGTAATGTTTGTCTTCTAAAAAAAAATAATAATGTAAATTTCAGTTAAATTCAGTTATCTTTTGTCGCTTGAACTTGGATTATTGTTACATCAGTGTACTCAAATAAATGTTATTCCAGGATTAGAAAAAAATGTATTTCATTATTAACATAATTTAGAAACGAGTACCATAGAGAGAAGAAAAAGGATAATGTAATAAATTCCAGGTTAAATTGTTTACTGCATAATCAGTAAAGTCAAAATATTTAATTACAATGATCTCAAAGTGAAATCGCCATCTAATCATCCCAAATTTATACGTATAAATACTTTATAAAGTACTTAATGAGTACCACTTTCTTAAAATTATATAAAACACTCCTCATTTTGAGCACCGCTCAACTATAGTTAAGAAATATACTTTTTTCTTAGAGCCTATACAATATTTCATTCAGGAGCTCTTGAAAACGAAATGTAAAATATAGTTTCTATTTACAAAGAACTCAATTTTCCAAAGCGTTTTATTATAAACTTTCCTGGTAGAGTAAGAAGAACATTCTTCCATGAAGATAAAGAAAGACCAACCAATGATAATACGGGCTTTATATGGGCTACAATACAAACATTGAGCCATGGTAGAGTAAGAAGAACATTCTTCCATGAAGATAAAGAAAGACCAACCAATGATAATACGGGCTTTATATGGGCTACAATACAAACATTGAGCCATGGTAGAGTAAGAAGAACATTCTTCCATAAAGATAAAGAAAGGACCAACCAATGATAATACGGGCTTTATATGGGCTACAATACAAACATTGAGCCATGGTAGAGTAAGAAGAACATTCTTCCATGAA